AAAGAGATATGGAAGCAGGGAAGCCAGGCTTGTCTGGAGAAAGAACAAGTGGTCTTGACTGGCTGGAGCATGGGGGTGGGGGTGGGGGGGTCAGGAACATGGATTTGTTAGCTATATCAGCTGGGTATGGGCCCAAGGGGAAGAGCTTTGAAAGAAGGAACCAGAATGTGAGAACCTCAGGATTCTAGAAGCCTAGAACAATTGGACCATCAGATCAGATCCAGAAATCCTGCCCCCACTTTGATGGGGGTGCTGGTACAGGTCAGTGAGTGAATGGTCCTTGGAGGACAGGCTCCCAGTGGGGGGCGTGACAGCATGGACTTCTAGTAGGGTAGGCGACAGGGAAAAGGATGAGGACCCCTAGCCCAAGGTAAGAAGGCAGAGCATCCGAGGAAATGAGCCAGAATTGCTTGGTTGGCTCAGTCTGCATCTGGGTTAGGTCTGGTTGAGCCCACTCAGCCCCCCAACTCTGTGGATACAATCTGGGGGGATCTGGACAGGATGAGAGTGAGAGGTCTCCAGAATGGCTTTCTAAGTGGAGGGAGGAGCCTGTCTGCCATACTGTCTCTTGGACAACATTGGCAGATTCCATCTCCAAGGGCAGAATCAGAGGTTACTGATATGGGCACTTCGGAAGAGAACCAAGGATCTTCCCAGCTCTGCTGACCTGGCAGCCTGCCCAGGGGTCACGCAGCCCAGAAGGGAGGGCCCATGGAAGAAGGCGGAGAAGAGAAGCCCTCAGCCCAGCAGGATCCGCCGGCTCCTGCCCACTCACTCAGCAGACATTCTCTCCTTTATCCTCTCAGTTTCCTAGGAACTGGGCACCATCTTGGTCCCATTTTACAGATGCAGAAGCCAAGGCACAAAGAGGTTAAGTAATTGCTCAAGGTCACACAATATGCAAGTGGCAGAGCCCAGCCAAATAACTGACCCAAGGCCACCAGGAAGTGGCCATCAGGGACTCTGACCCCAGGCAGTACTCTAGATACAGGGGGCCAGGCAAACGTACCCCTTTCCAATCTCTTTCTGACACAAATATTCCCTGGCAAGGGGGGAGGGGAGGCCCTCTCCTTGACCCCAGAAGCCCTGATGCTGGCATTCCTGCATTGCCCGCCGCCAGCATGATGACTAAAGAGAGGCAGGGCCCCAGCACTCTGTTTTCCCTGCTCCCCTTCCTGCATGTCCTTTATTGCATCTAAATCAGATCACACCACACCTGCTGCAGGTACCTGCTGGTCCAGTCTTTGTTCTCAGCCTAGAACACTGCACCCCAGGCAGTGGCAGGGCCCAAACGGCACCCCAGACCACAGGCCTTGCCTGTGGAGTTGGAGAGCGGGCAGGGGCTGAGGGAGCTCAGGGTGCAATCAGGAAGCCCCATGTCCCTAAGACCCACCACCCCAGTTGGCCAGGCTCCTGGTTCTCCCTCCTCCCCTCCATCACTCTCCTGTGCTCAGCATAGACTGGGAAGCACCTGGGGAAGGGCAAGGACAAGCTTTGGAGGACGGCTGCCTCCTGTCTCATCGAGCCTGGCTACTCACCAGCTGTGTAATACTGGGCTCTGGACTTCTCTGCATGTCAGTTGCCCCACCTGGAAAGTGAAAGTGGGTATGAGCATTGGCAATGATTGCAAAGCATTAGGACCTGGAAGGTGCCCCCATTAAGAGTCCCTCCTCTGAGCTGCACCCGGTTCAGGAAGCTGGGATATGGGCCAAGAAGAAGGGGATGGGCGTGCTGTTCTCACAGAGCTCACAGCCCTGGGCAGTGGAGGAGACAAGCTGTTGCAGAAAGGCAGTTACAGTGCTTCATGATGTGGGATGTGACAGACAAGTGCTCATAGGCTGTGGAAGCCCTAGGGAGGGATGTGTCTGATGGACCGGGGTATCAGGGGAGGCTTCATGGAGGAGGTGACAGTGGAACTGGGCCTTGAATGGTGAACAGGACTTTGTAGAGTAGAGGAAGGCAACAATCATCCCGTAAAAGGCTCAAGGATGGGAAAGAACCTGACCTGTTCAGGGAGGGTGCTGGCATTCATTCCTTTATTTCACTTTGTAAGTATTTTTTGAGCACCTGCTACATGGCAAGCACTGTGCTGGGTACTTTACACATTTAATTCGATTTAGTCTTCACAGTGCCCCTGCCCTCACCCAGTTTTATAGATGAGGGGACTGCATTCAGGGATTACATGACTCAGGGTGGGTGAGGCAGTAAGTTATCCACCAGGATTCAAATCTAAGTTTGGCTCCAAAGAGGCCTATCTGAAGGACAGCGATCATTTGGGATTTACAAGTTCTAGACCCGTAAGAAACAGTCGTGGTATTTAAATGGGAACCTCCTCGAACCTGTGTAGCACCCTCAGGGCTCAGGCTCAGCACAACATCTCATTCAAAGAAACACAGTCCGACACCCACACCATTCAAAGCTTTCTTTGTGACTCTTAAAAAATATTGAATGGGGCCCAATTTGTAACTCAGGGCACCCCTTCTAAAGAATCCTCTTTTCTCCCCAGTTCTCCCCGTGGCTGCTCTAAAGCTTCTAGTGGCCCCTCCATCCCCATGACCCCACCCCTCCTTCCTCCCAACCCATTCAGTCTCCTTTCTCTTTTCTCTCAGCCCTCTAGCCCAGCGGTTCTCAACCTGTGGGTCGCGACCCCTTTGGAGGTCGAACGACCCTTTCACAGGGGTCGCCTAAGACCACCGGAAAACACATATATAATTACATATTGTTTTTGTGATTAATCACCATGCTTTAATTATGTTCAATTTGTAACAATGAAAATACATCCTGCATATCAGATATTTACATGACGATTCATAACAGTAGCAAAATTACAGTGATGAAGTAGCAACGAAAATAATTTTATGGTTGGGGGTCACCACAACATGAGGAACTGTATGAAAGGGTCGCGGCATTAGGAAGGTTGAGTTGAGAACCACTGCTCTAGCCCATTTTCCAGATTCAGCATCACATAAGTCAAGGACCTGGTGAAGACAGGTCGAGTGGCAGATTAGGGGAAGAAGGTGGGGAGGGGAACATGTTGGTCCTGACGCCCTAAATTCAGCCCCTATCACTCCTGAGGCCGAGCCTTCGCTTTTCACACTGTCCTGGACACAACATTGGTGGTTTCTTCCCTGTCAAGTCTCTCCCGGGTGTTTCCTGTGGCCTGGTGCCCACTGGAGGCCCAGCTGGGATGGCTGGAGGGTGGATGTTCCTCATTATTTGCTCGGGTCCCCATCTGTCACAGGGATGGCCCTGGGCTCCTCCCAGGAGAAAGCCCTGCACAAGTGCCCCTTGTACCCCGATGTCCTTCAGACACCCCAAATTCATGTGCAAACCAAACACATCTCTTTTGAGGCCTCAGTATCCTCATCTACAAGATAATACTGCACCTAAGATTGGTGTGGGGATTAAACGAGAAAATATATGTGCCTGGCAAGTTTTTAATGTTCAACAAATTTCAGCTGCTCTTGAAATTCTTCCCCCTCCCCCCCCCCAATCTCCTCTGCAGCTAGATTGTAAGCTCCCAAAGGACAGAGCGGTCTGTCTTTCATCCCCAGTGGAAGGTAGTCCGTGCTTATCAATGCTGGATGGATTGATGAAAATATGCATGAATTAGGCCCCGAAGAGTTTCCAGTTTACTCTTCCCAAGAGGGCTGATTTGTTAAGGGGCCGGTTCCCAGGGCCTTTGCCGTGTATTATCAACATCACTTTCCAAACACCACTCCCCAGCTCAGGGACGCCCCCAGGAAGCCTGGGGTGGGCACCAGGGGTAGGAGGAGAAGACTGGGTTGGATAAGTTGCCCTTGGCAATGCTCCACCCCAGGATGGACTGAACCTTAAGTCCAAGTTCGCCCCGCATCTGGGTGCTCGTTGCCTGCAGCTGCCTTCCCCAATCAGCATTCGGCCAGGAGTGAAGCAGGAGGAGGGAGGAGGCGGGGAGTGTGGGTGGCCCCAGGTGAGATTCAGGAAATGAGCTCCACCCTCTGGTCTGACCCTGCCAGTAGCCAGGCTTTGCTGAGGCTACCAGGACAGAGAACCCCCAGAGAAGGCAGCTGGGGGATCCAGCAGCTCCCCGCCTGCTCCTTATCTACCTCCTGTTGTCAGTCAGCCTGCGGGAGATAAGCCAGGGCTGAGAGCCGTCTGGGCCCGAGCCACAAAGGAGAACATAATTAAAAAGACACTGCTGGCGTGGCCGAGGGGGCGAGGATCCTGCTGGGACGTGAGGAGAGCCTGGAGGGAAGAGTTCCGACTTAGAGAAAAGACAGAGTAGTCAGCACTCAATGAACAGCCTTGCAAATAGGCTACCAGCCCATGGTAGCTTCACCTGGCTCAGAGACGAAAACCCAGAGAGAGCCTGCCCTCCAACGGATATTCCACGCCCTTTGTTTGACTTCACTTCCCACTCCCACCCCCCGCCCCCCCTCATGGGGCAGTGGTCATCCAGGAGGGTCCCAATGGAACATCGCCCTAAGAAGTGCTCAAGTCTTTCCTGTTGGAATGAGGACAGTCATCCATTCTTTTACTCATTTAAGCAGCACTGAGGACACAGTGGGTAGATTGACTGAAGTCAGAGGAGGAGGGGCTTGATGAGCAATTCCATCCCCTCCTTTGGCAAAGGAACCATCTGCAGCTCAGAGGCTCTGGGGCTGACAGAGGGTGGGTCAGGCCCGGAGGGCATTGTCTGCCGGGAGAACTCCAGGACTGACGGGGCTCTGATGGGCTCCAGCCCCACCTGTGCACCAGCCCACCGAGCAAATCCAGGCGGGTCCCCTGTCTTCAGGCCTCAGTTTCTCCACTGTGAAATGGGAAGAAACGGAACCACCACTTCTCTACTAGTTCAGCGTTATCGGGGGTCACCAACGGGAAAGTGCTTGGGGAAAGGGAAGAGAATGAGGGGCCCACTGCCTGGGGGGTCTAAAGTGAGAGAACTGGGCTGGTGGGGGGATGAGGGCCACTCTCACTTCCTGTCTCCCGCAGGCCCTGAAGGCTGAGTAGCCAGCGGGATGCCCGGTCTGCTGAACCAGATGACAGGGGCAGCCCTGCCCCTCACTGCTTCTGACGTCACCTCCTTCGTCAGTGGTTATGCCCTGGGTCTGACTGCATCCCTCACCTATGGCAACCTGGAAGCCCAGTCTTTCCAGGGTAAGGACCCCTCCTCCATATTGAATCCCCACCCCACCAGCGTAGCCGATGGACACTGGGCAAGGCCTGGACCTTCTCCGAGTCTCGGTTTCCTCACCTGTAAAATGGGGATACCATTTCCGCCCAGCAGGCCTCAAAGCTGGTAGCAAGTGGGGTCAGGGTTTGAGCCCAGGTTTAGCCCAGCCCTGCCAGCTGGCCCAGCGCTATTTAGGTCCCACAAGGCACGCCCCCTTCGTCAAAGGGCCCGCCTCCACTTCCTCCGGGAGCCTCACGGTGGGAGGGGCCTCGAGACTCAGTGGAAGCCAGGAGTTGCCAGCCCCAGGTGTGGCTCTGGTCCCTGTGACTCTGGAGAAGCCACTGTCTTCTCAGAAGCAGGATGCCCCTTTGCCTGTCCGGTGGGGCGTGGGGAGGAGCAGATGAGGTCTGGAGTGCAGAAGAACAGTGTGGAATGAAACAGCCTGCGAATATGAATCATTGGGTGGGGCAGCCAGGACTGTGGACAGACGTCTGCCTGGAGGAGTCATGTGTAAGTCAAACTCCTCTCTTTCCACTGAAGGAAGGGAGTTACCAGGAGGGCGCTGTGACGACTTGTCGGGGTAGGATTCCCTCCCACCCACAGTTGGTCCCCTCCGAAATCCCCTGGGCAGACAATGACCCTGTGGAAGGAAGCCCAGAGAGGGTGGCTTAAAATGGGACCCGCTGGGGACCCAGGAGACTAAATGACGAATAACTCGGGGACAGCCCCTTGGCTTTCTACATTAAAAAGGCCCAGTCCCCATTTTATAGATGAGAAAACTGAGCCGCAGGGGGATGGGAAGCAGGCGTTTGTGAAGGGCTCACTGGGGGCCCAGCATTGTGCTGCCCCCGTGTTGGTGGGCAGATTAAATGAGATACAACCTTGATCCTCCCTGTGGTCCCCACACCATCGAGCCATCCACTTCACTCAGGGGCTGCTTAGAAATGCAGATCTAGGCCCCACCCCAGAACTCCTGAGTCAAAATCTGCATTTTAACAAGACACACCCCCTCATCCTTGATCTGTGTGCTCTTAAAGGCTGAGAAGCACTAAGGTATAAACATGTGGGCACATAGCTTATTTTTTCCATTTTCATGATGACCCTATGAGTGGGGCTCTATTATCCCCAGTTTACAGATGGGGCTGTGAGGCTTAGAGAAACTAAACATCTTGTCCAAGGTCACCAGGCTAAGAGAGGGGGCAGGGCCCAGATTCAAACCCTAGTTTACTTCCTCCAACGCCCCAGCTCCTGGGAGCCACGGACAGCAAATTCACCAGGCACAGGTGTTTTATTTGGCCCACACAACAGGTCACATCAAATCCAGAATTTACTTTCTCTCGAAAAGTCAGAGGCCCTGCCCACACTGGCCTCACGTGCCTGCAGAGTAAGCATTGGCTGGGACGGGGGGGGGGCTGCTGTCCCTTTTCCAGTAGCCCCTGTGCTCACAGAGTGCCCGGCCTCAGTGCAGAGCCATGAGGTCCCAGCCCAAGTCCTCTCTGGCAGCCTCTAAATCAGCGGTTCTCAACCTGTGGGTCGCGACCCCTTTGGCGGTCAAATGACCCTTTCACAGGGGTCGCCTAAGACCATCCTGCATATCAGATATTTACATGACGATTCATAACAGTAGCAACATTACAGTTATGAAGTAGCAACGAAAATAATTTTATGGTTGGGTCACAACATGAGGAACTGTATTTAAAGGGCCAGAAGGTTGAGAACCACTGCATGGCAGTGAGTACCAGCCTAGGCTTGGGTTCCTTCCCAGGGGTGGGGTGTGCAGGGTGGGGCCGGGGCACCCCGTGATGCTTGGTCCTGCTCCCACAGGCCTCTTCGTGTACCCGCTGGATGAGTACACCACGGTGATCGGCTTTGAGGCGGTCATTGCTGACCGGGTTATAACGGTACAGATCAAGGACAAAGCCAAGATGGAGAGTGGCCACTTCAATGCCACCCACCTTCGAGCCACAACTGTCACAGGTAAGGAGGCCAGAAGGGCTGTGCAGGATCTGGGCCCGGCTGAAGTCTCGGGCAGGCTGAAAGGGTAGCAATGGCGTACGATAGAGAGAGCATGACAGTAGGAGTCAGGAATCCTGTGTGTCACTGGCCCTCTCTGAGCCTCACCTTACTGTCTGTAAACAGAGGCCAACTCTCCTCATCTAGGAAGCATGGTGAGGATCAGAGGGTTCAACCACAGGTTCTAAAGCTCTCTCTGCAAAACAGAACAGCGTGTCATTTAAGCTCAGAGGTTGTGGAATGAGTCACACCAGGGTCTGACTCCCTATTCTGGTCCTTGCAAGTGGTGTGAGCTCAGATAAAAAATAAAAATTATCCGTAAAATGAAGCTAATAATTATACACACCAAAGCTCAACAGAGAGCATGTATGCAGAGCACGCACCAAAGTCCCTGGTACAGACTAAGTACTCAAATTGCTATTGAGGCTGCTGAGGCTCAGAGAGGGTCAGTGACTGGTCCAAGGTCACACAGCATGATATATATATTGTTGTTGTTGACAGTATTATAGATGTCTCCCATTCCTTCCCTCCTTTGCTCCCCTCCACATGTTTGAGACAGGGCTTGAATCCAGACCAAGTATCACATGATGTAAGAGATCCTCACCATTGGATCTATGATCGAAGTGATGTTTGTTCATCTGATCATTGAGACATTCAAGAATATTTTAATGAGCACTTACCAGGTGTAAGCTGCAAAGTTGCCCTCAGGCTGATACGACCACTCACAGCCCGGAAGAATAGCTAGGATGTGCCTAGCAGTGACCATGAGAGCAGGTGGAAAGTGGCTGTGCCCAAAGAGGTCTGGATAATGTCAGAGGAGGGAAAGAGGGGTACAGATTGGGGGCCGAGGGGTATCCATGGAGGGGTTCCTGGAGGGGTTGGATAGAAGGGTAAGACTGGATAAGTAAGGGTGAGGGGATGGGCCTTACAGATAAAAGGACAGAGCAAAAGCATGGATCCCAAGGTGGGGCATGCTTGAATGTGGTTCCTGTGGGGAGGTAGAGTCTGCGGATGGAGACGTGACCCTCTGTTGGGGTTTTGTGGGTCCAAGTCTCCCATTCCCTGCAGGCCTGGCGTCAGGCCCATGCAGGTTCAGATCCTGGTTCAACGAGTTAGTCATTTGCTGAGGAACTTGGCTGAGTCACCCCTACGCTGAGCTGTTTCCCATCAGCAAAATGGGCGACTCAGACCTACCACACAGCAAGCTTAGGGGGCACTAGCGATGCTGGACACAGTGGCTGACTCCAGGCCTGGCGCTTAGGAAACATCCTGCGAGAGGGGGTTTCCGTGGTCCCGCCTTCCTGCACACTGGGAAAGGTGGCTTTGGATGAGGATTTGGAGCGGATCCTCTTCGTGGTCAACCTGGGGACCATCACCCCGATGGAGAACGTCAAGGTCTTCATCAGCACCTCCTCAGAGCTCCCGACGCTGCCCAGTGGGGCCATGCGGGTCCTGCTGCCTGCTGTCTGCGCCCCGACCGTGCCCCAGTTCTGCACAGAGAGCGGTGACCCCTCCAGCCAACAGGCCCACGGGTAAGAAGCCCCTGGCCGGACAAGGGGACAAGGGTCAGCGTCTCAGGTGGGCAGTGGGGAGCCTGTCAGGTGAAGTCAGGGTGTGCAGGGCGGTGGGGATGGAGTTGAAGGTGAGGCTCGGCGTTGGAGGCCACCCCCTGAACAATGGTTCCTGCCCCTCTCACTTTTAGAGCATTGGGGTCTCCCTGATGCCTTGGAATGCTACTGGCCAGATGTTCTGGAATTTGGACACCTTGGGATTAGAATTTCCAGGCTTTATTCTTTCATGCACTTAGGACACTGAGTTGAGTGTTAGGGATCCAAAATCCTCACAAATCCTGCCTTTTTAGAACTTGGTGGGAGAGATCATTATCCAATGAATAACACCCTTAATGTGGACCCACTGGTGCACTTGCATGCATAATTAATTATGTGAAAAGTACAAAGAAAGAGACATTCATTGGGCTAAGAGTATAAAAGAGAGACCCGCCCTAGCTGGTTTGGCTCAGTGGATAGAGCATCAGTCTGTGGACTGAAGGGTCCCAGGTTCGATTCTGGTCAAGGGCGCGTACCTCGGTTGCAGGCTCCTCTCTGGCCCGGGCCCTGGTTGGGGCACGTGCAGGAGGCAACCAATTGATGTGTTTCGCTCACATCAATAGTTCTCTCTGTCTTTCCCTCTCTCTTCCACTCTCTCTAAAAATCAGTGGAAAAATATCGCCAGGTGAGGATTAAAATAGATAGATAGATAGATAGATAGATAGATAGATAGATAGATAGACAAAAGAGGGACCCAACCCAGAGGTCCTGGGCCAGGCCAAGCTTCTCTGAGGAGTGATATTTCAGCTGAGACCTGGGGGATGCGGGGGATGTAGGCACAGATCTGGCATTCCCTGCAGGGAGAACAGCAGAGGCAAAGGCCCTGAGGCAGCAGGCTTGGTGTGTGTGAGGAGGCAGGCAGGCTAGTATAGCTATAGCAGGTGGGAGAGTGAAGGAGAGAGGTCAGAGGGCTGAGTGGAGTCAGATCGTGTAGGACCTTGAAGCCGAGGCTGAGGACACTTATGCCACAGCAGAGAAGCTGTAGGCACAAGCCAGTCTCAGCCCAGGGGACACCAGGTTGCATGTTACCTTTGTAAGTACTGTCATAGGTGCCAAGTTTGGTGACTTTGAGAGGCAGGACCTGGCGGAGCTGAGGACAGCCAGGACTTTGGCAGATCAGGAACAAGAGGCCCCTGAGGTGGCCCCAGGAAGCAGGTTCCTGCCCATCCCAGCAGGCAGAGTTAGCAGAGGTGCTCGTGGGAGAGGCCTGCATCAAGTCCCGATGAGCCTCAAAGTTGCTCAGAGAGAGAAAAATAGATAATACCCAGTGTTGGTGAGGATGAGGCCTCTCCCACCTCTCTATCTAAAAATCAATAAAAACATATTTTTTAAAAAATTAAATAATAAGGGAAGTAATGAGTGAGATTCATAATAGAATATAATCTTTTCAGTTTAAAGTGCATTCACAACCAAACGCCACCACGGATATGTGCCCTTATTAAGGACATACATCAAAGACCTTAGAGCAGCGGTTCTCAACCTGTGGGTCGCGACCCCTTGGTGGGTCAAACGACCCTTTCACAGGGGTCGCCTAAGACCATCGGAAAACACATATATAATTACATATTGTTTTGTGATTAATCACTATGCTTTAATTATGTTCAATTTGTAACAATGAAAATACATCCTGCATATCAGATATTTACATTATGATTCATAACAGTAGCAAAATTACAGTTATGAAGTAGCAATGAAAATAATTTTATGGTTGGGGGTCACCACAACATGAGGAACTGTATTAAAGGGTCGCGGCATTAGGAAGGTTGAGAACCACTGCCTTAGAGGGCGTTCCCATGGGGAGGGCAGGAGAGGGACCAGGATCACAGATAGGGTGGGGGCAACACAGAAAGAGAGCCAGAAACTTCAGACACTCATGAAAAACAACTATGTCATTATTATCCCCATTAAATGGATGAGAAAACCAAGGCTTTTTCGAGGGCTCCCAGCTCCCAGACACAGAGCAGGGATTTGAGAAGGGTTGTGATATAGTCGAACGGGAGCCAGACAGACTGGATGAGCATGCTCACTCTGCCAAGTCCCGACTGTGGGAATGTTGGGGCTAGTTGCCTCATCTTGCTGAGCCTCAGTTTCCCCGTGTGGGAGATGGGGGAGACGGGGGCCAAGTGGCTTTTTTCTGAGGGTTCTGGTGAGAACAATGTGTGCTAACGCTGTGGAGCACTGAGCCTGGCCCCTGGCCCAGCCCTCCAGGGTCTCCCCGGGATCAGGTTGAATGGGAGAGTAAGGGTCTGGGTGGGGGGGAGCTCCTCAGCCCCTTTTCGGGCTGGGCTGCAGGGGAGCCAGGGCTGCCTGAGACTCACCGTCCTCTCGATGTCCTTTCACGAGGCACCCCCACCCCTTCTGCCTTGGTCCTGGCTGCCCGCTTCCTCCTCCTCCCTCTTCTCCTCCTCCTCCTGCTCCTCCTCCTCCTCCTCCTCCTCCTCCTCCTCCTCCTCTCAACCCCCTTCCCAGCAAAGACAAGCATTGCTTCGGCGCCCGGGCCCTGGACTCCTGGAACAAGCTGTGCCTGGCAACTCTTCTGGACATGGATGTGTCCAACCCCATGGAATATGAGTTCAACTTCCAGCTGGAGATCCGTGGGCCATGCCTGCTCGCAGGTGAGAGGGAGCTGCCCAGACCCAGGTAGGCGCCAGGAAGACTTGAGGCCCCAGGCTGGGGAGGGCTTCCGGCCCAAAGCTGCCCAGGGCAGAGAGTAAGGGGAGGGTGGGGGATGTGACAGGCCCGGATGGAGGACATCCTGAAGTACATGGAGCTGCACGGATTCCCATTTCCTGCTCCCCAGCCACAGATGAGCCCCTCCCAATGAGCCTTCTAGGCTGTCCACCCCACCGCCATGGCTTCCTGGGGAATGTGCATGGCGCGGGTGGGTCCTGGTCCCCTCCCAGCGGTTCAGCCATAGAGCCGCTTCCTGCTTCTCACTTACACAGCGGAATCACCAGGGATCTTCCAGAATCCTGCCACCCATTTCCCGCCTGAGCTTCAGGGGCCCTTGGTCTGGGCTATGCCTTGGGTATTGGCTATTCAGAAGGTCCCAGGCCATTCTAACCTGCAGCCAGATTCGGAGCCATTGTTCTGACAGTTCCCCTCTCCAGCCCACTCTAGGCTTTAAAAGGCTGTGGTTTCTTGTCAACAAGTGTGTTGTCAGAGCAGCATGGCATTCCAGCCTGAGAGGTGTTCATGGGGTGCCCACCGATCCAGCGTTGAGCATCTTCTGTCTTATGCGCCTCCATGGGAGGCAATTCCTTCGACTCCCCGCCACTGGGTCCCCACTTTGCAGATGGGGAAATTGAGGAGACGTGTCCATGGCTACCCAGCTGGGCAGGCGCCCCTGATGGGCAGGAGTGTCATCTCTGGCTTGCATCTCAGTGTCCCCCACAAAGCCCCTGTCTCTCTCAGCGCTCCTGAGCCTAACCCGCCTTTCTGTGCCACTCAGGGGTAGAGAGTCCGACCCACGAGATTCGAGCCGACGCCGCCCCGTCCGCATGCTCGGCCAAGAGCATAATCATCACCTTGGCCAACAGGCACACCTTCGACCGGCCTGTGGAGATCCTCATCCACCCCAGCGGTACCGTGCCCCAGGGGGGACCCCCAGGAAGCCTGTGGGAGGGAGGAGGTGCTGAGCCCGGGGGCACAGACAGGTGGCCCCTCGCCCAGTGGTCAGCCAGGGAAAGGGTAGGGGTGCGTGGCAGAGGAGAGGAGACCAGCCTCCTAGGAAACTTGGCTCCAGCTGGTGGAATTGAGTATCTCCTGCCCCAGAGGCTCCAGGGTCTCGTGCACCCACTGGGGCACTTTGTCCGCAGGCCAGCTGAGCAGAGGATCTTTGAAACCCAAGCTCAGGGAGGCCCTGGCAGCTCTGACCTCTCAGGGAACAACTCTTTTGTCTCTAAGAATTCATTAGAATGCCAGGACCTGAAAATATCAGAGCAACCAGTCCCACTCCCATTTTACAGATGGATAAACTGAGGCCCAGAGAGGGGCCATGGGTCAGCCATGGCCACTAGGCACTTCTGCCTCCCAACTAAGGAGTCTTCCCATGGCCTCACCCTGCTTCGGGCAGCCAGGGCTTCTGTACCCCTCTTCCTACTGGGAGTCCTCCCCACTCTGAGGATTCCGCCCCTAAGCTGAGGCCCCTGGCATCACCCTCACACTCGGGCACGTGCCAAGACTTGATCTCATCTCTGCAGAGCCCCACATGCCACACGTCCTGATGGAGAAAGGGGACATGACCGTGGGAGAATTTGAGCAGCACCTGAGGGGAAGAGCAGATTTCATTAAAGGGATGAAGAAGGACAGCAGTGCAGAGCGAAAGGTGAGGGCGACTGAAGGAGGAGCCAGGGGTGGCAGAACCGGGGTGGCACTGGGGACTTGGACTTCACTGAGGAGAACGAGCTGGGGTGGGGACTTGCCTGAGGTCACGTAGCGGCTGGTGGCAGGTCCTCCTCAGTGTTTCCCTTGGGAGGTGGGGGTGGGGGGGATGGGCAGCAAAGGGCCAGGGCACTGCGGGGCAGAGGCAAGTGGCTCTCAGATGTAGCAGTCACCCTGGTGCTGTCCTCACACTGTCTGCCAGGTCACCTTCTAGAGCAGCGGTTCTCAACCTGTGGGTCGCGACCCCTTTGGCGGTCGAACGACCCTTTCACAGGGGTCGCCTAAGATCATCCTGTATATCAGATATTTACATTATGATTCATAACAGTAGCAACATTACAGTTATGAAGTAGCAACGAAAATAATTTTATGGTTGGGTCACAACATGAGGAACTGTATTTAAAGGGCCAGAAGGTTGAGAACCACTGTTCTAGTGACTAAGCCAGGTACCTAAGCCAGGTAAAATTCTCCGCTGGTGCTTCCCCAGGTATTACCCACTGAGTGGTACCCGACAGCCGGTGCACTCCCAGCTCTTTACTCCTGGGCCTCTGTTTTCCCACCTGTTGAATGGGTCTCTTGCTGTTCCTTCCTCTGGGTCCTTGGTGGCTGTTACATAGACAGTAAAGATAAGGAAGGGAAAGCCTAACTAAGATCCTGCCCCTCTGCCTACCCTCTCCCCCACGAAGCCTAAGGACAAGAGACCCTCCGCAGAGGGGCCTCGTGGGGAAGAAATGCTGGGAGGCTCAGCCGATGGCCACAAATTGTACCGGCAGTCGCCCTCCTGTTCATGACCCTGCACACTAAGCCGGGTCCGAGGCCAAGATACCTTTAAGAATGATGGCCCACTTCTTTTTATTCTCTTTGTTATTGGCTGAAAAAACTGAGGTTTAGCACCCCAAAATCACTATGAGCTGGAGCATGGGAAGACCATTCTCTTGGGATTTGACTTGGATGGCAACGAAGCTAAGGACTTAGACTCAATCCGAGGGCAGTGACACTAGATTTAGGAGCCCTTCCCGTTCCTGCGGGCCTGGCTGGCAGAGGATGTGGCCACTGAGGAGTGTACGGAAACACATGTAGATAGCCTACTGCTCACCCCGACTGTTAGAGGCCCCACTGGAAGCACCTGCTTGGTGGGGATGGGGAGGATGACAAAAGGAAGGTGTAGATGGCTCGGTGCCCATCACATCACTGCCAGTTAGCGACCCACTGGAAATACCTCTCCCAGAAGTGCCCCCTCACCCAGATGAGTCAGATGGGAGAAGAGGCTGAGCCTGGTTCTCAGAGTGGGGGTGCCAATGCCAGGTGTGTACTGAGCTCTGAGAACTACATCATGTGGACAACGTGGTGGTGGGGGGCAATGGGCCTCCCAGGCTGGAGCTGGGTCCCCCGCCTACCAAACCTTAAATCAATTAGCTCTGGGACCACTGAAGCGAATGAGAATTAGTTTGCCACCTTGGGTTGGTTATGAAATACCCTGTATTCTCATGAGCTCCAGGAATGACAGCCATCAGCCCGAAGCTGCCCCAAAGTGATGAGTTTATTATAATTAGATAATGGCAGCTTGAGGAGCCATTGGAGAATCCTGAGCCAGGGGCCCCCACTCTCTGAGAGGCCGATGTGGCTGTTACTGCCTTGGGCTCTGTCATCGAGAGAGCCAGGCTGGGCGTGGCTCTGGCAAAGGAGCTCCCTGCGGGACAGAGAGCCTGATCCTTTGCCAAGGAGGGAGGCAGGCAGCCAGAAGGCAAATGTCAATCAGGAAGAGTGGGAGGGACAAGCTGTCAAAACTGTGATTTAGCAAAGATGGAGCAAATGGCACAGGAAGATAACCATGTAGAAAAGATGGCGATGCGGTGAAAAGCAGAGACAAATAGAGAAAAAACAAACTTGCACACACAGGTCGGTGGTAGACAGACCCACACAGATTCATTCTCATTTATTCAGTCAACAAACACTACGTGTCCAATAGATGTCAGGCTCCATTCTAGGCATTGGGGAGGCCACACTGAAAATGACACATCCTTGTCCTCATGCAGCTTACCTTCTAGCACAGGGAGATACACAAGAAGTAACCAAATGAGCACGGTCCGTTTGGAGAGGGCTGGGGACCAGGAGAGAACTAAAACAGGATGATGTGGGAATGAGTGGCAAGCACTGGCTGCTGTTCAGCCAGGTGTCTAGAAAAAGCCTGTCTGAGAATGAGACCTGGTGGACGGTGAAGAACTGGAAGCAGAATAATGGTGACATGTTTGGGAAACAGGCAGCTGTGCGGGTGAAATGTGGGGAGTGGGCAAAGATGAGGTGAACAGGCTGGCCGGGGTCAGGCCCTGGGGGCTTCATACGCCATGGCACAGGGTATGAGGGGAAACCGTTGCTTAGGCAAGAGAATGGCAAGAATGGCCTCGCTGCCTGCTCTACACAGAATGGACCACCGGGGAGTCAAAGTGGAGGAAAGGGGCCAGTAAGAGGCGATGGCAAGGGCCCAGGCAAGAGATGGTAGTGTCCTGAACTTGGGTGGTGGCAGTGGAGACAGAAGAGCACACATTCGGGGTGTGTTTTAGCTGCAGAGCTAGCAATCCTTCGCTGAAGGAGCAAGAGAGGAAGCAACAACTCCTCCGTCTTTGGTTTGAACACCTGGATGGGTGGTGATGTCATCTACTGAGTTGGGGAAGGGATGCAAAAGACCAAAACTGAAAAACAGACACAAAGGGACCTGTCCACCCAGAGGCAGTCAAATAAAGAGACAGAGAGTTTTTCTTTCTCCTCCAGACAGAAATCATCCGGAAACGCCTCCACAAGGACATTCCCCACCACTCTGTCATCATGCTCAACTTCTGTCCTGACCTCCAGTCGTTCCAGCCGAACCTGAGGAAGACCCATGGCGAGTTTATCTTCCTCATTGACAGGAGCGGCAGCATGAGTGGGACCAACATCCACCGCGTCAAGGTACCTGTTAGAGGACCCCTCCCCGGGGTCTTGTGCTCCAGGGTAAATCAGCTGTGCTCCCCCAAACCAGCTTCATCAGCACTTTCGGTTCCAAGAAGCCCCTCTTCCACACCTGAACCACCTTCCTAAATGGCTCTCCATGTCTAAAAGGAACAACAACAGAGACACCCAAACTCAATGTGCTCCCAAAAGAAAACCTTGAAGTGGTATGAGCAGAGGCAGAACTATTGTCCACTTACAAGGGATGAAGTTATCAACATCTTCCCTTGACATTCTACAACCTTCGCTGAGTGCTGCTCAGGCTAACACAGCTCAGTAGGTACTGAGTGGAGAGGGGTACAGCTGGGTGTTGAATCCAGCTAATAATCCTGAGGTTAGTGCTATTGTCTCCATTTGCCAAAGTGGAAAGCCCATCCTGAGAGTTTCAATAACCTACCCAAGGTCACACAGCCGGTGTGGTCTAATACTAAACCCATGTCTGTCTGTCCCTACGACCTGACATCAGAAATTCACTGGAGATGGCCCCTGTCATCAAATAATGTGTAGAATCCAGTAGAAAAAATTTGGTTCTTTTTTTTTCCCCTCGAAATGCCTAATATGGGCAAAATTTTGTGGTTGGCCGTCTAAAAAGACAGCAGGGTGTAAACTCAGTTTCTGCCCTCAAACCAGTCATGTATGGAGCATGGTCTCACTGCTGTGGAGACTTTTGATGAGTGAGGAAGACAGAGTAATCACCTTTCCCCCAATGTCTAAAAGCATATCCTCTCCCTCAGGAGATTCTTCGCCTCAGTTCTGGCATTATCCACCTCTCCCTTGTATGTCTAGCTGTGCAGGCCTGTCTCATCTGGAGTTATGGGAAACTCATTAAGGAAAGGGCCAGATCTTTGCTCATCTATCTCTCCCCATGGGGCCTTGCTCTATATTTAGGCATAAAAAACCCTCAGTCATGGTTCATTGAACTGGGTAAAGGATCACAGTTCAAGAAAACAAGGCATGAGGGAAGGAGAAGGGGGAGGGCTCAGTTGTCACCTGAAATTTCGCTCCTTTCCCAGTTTATGCCTGGAGCAAACTCTTGTTCCCAGGGCAACAGGATAAGCAAGGAGAGGAGAGGTTAGGTGGGATCTGTGAGGCCAGCTAGCTCCTCAGTCATGCTATGACTGGGTTTGGTCTTGAAGCATGAGAGAGCATCCTATATGCAACCCAAGTTCCTGTTTGAGGCCTCTTGACACTGGGATGCAGGACTGGTTGGTACCTTCTCCCCGCCCCCGCCCGCCATCAAAAACAAATACTGGAATGGGGAGCTGTCCACAGTGCTGGAGTGCTGAAGCATAGTCCAGTGCCCATGTGTATCCCATTCCACAGCCGGACCAATTTGTAAGATGTCTCCACAGTTACTCTAAGTATCATGGGATCATGGAGCATCCCTTAGAGAGCACTGAATCCACCTTCCCTGCCTATTTCCAGGTAAGGAAACTGAGTCCCCGAGAGGCTGTTTCTTCCAACATCACAGTGCTAACAAGGGAGCCTAAGCTTTCCCTATCCTGGCTCAGTGCTCATTTTCCTCACCTTTCTGATAGGGAGTTACACCTACTCCCCCTTTAAGGAAAGCTCTCTTTTCTGATCATGTCTCTTCTGCTGCATGACTTAGTAAAAGAGAAATGCCTGGGTTCCAGGATCGAGTCTGCCACTGGCTGGCTATGTGGCTTTGGACAGATTGATTCTCAACTCTGGGCTTCATTTATACTGTCTGTAAAATGAGAAGGGAGGGTTAATACAGGGAGGCAACCACATGTCCTACATCGCTTTGTTCCCTTCTCCCAAGCCCAGGCAGACATCAACAACTGACCGTGACATTCTTTACCGCGCTGAGTCTGGACTCAGTCTCTGTATTGTTCTCATCAAGGTGCTGCAGGCCATTACTACCAGCTGAATGGAGCTGGTTCCTGAGTGGAAATCCATTTCCTGAACTAAAGACCTTTCCAACCTTGACATTCCAGAATTCTCTGATGACAGCTCCCTCCAGGGCTCCTCTCACAGTTCCTTCCCCCTAGGAGTCTTGCTTGCTTGCTTTTCCAGCTCAGCTCCCTGACCTCAAGGTTACCTTTCACAACTGGCTTTGCATCAGCACAATCCATTCTGCTACATACGCCTGCCCCTTTTAGAAAAAGACACAGAAATTACTCAGGCCACACACCCCTCCCCCCACTCCCCCACTCCCCCTCTTGATAATGAGGTCATTGGGGGGGTTGCTTGCATCATTAATTGTGGCCGATTATGTTGAAGTTTTAGGAAAAACTGGAAATAGGGAGGTGGGAGAGAATAGAAATCCAAACAGCCACGCGGAAGGGGAAAGTTCAACCAATTTAATTTCCTGCAGCTGGTCTCATTCTTCAGCTGCCACTTGCTGCCAAAAACACGGCTTTGAAAATTCTAATAGGTGTGAGCAGAGACAATCTGTATGGATCAGCGACGTCTCCTGCTAGCAGGAGTACACACTAGCGGCTAATGAAAAAATAAGCAGATCTGGACTTCTTTCATAGAGACACAAAATGGATTGACACAAGCAACAAAGAGAACATTAACGTTAATGTTTACAGAGGGGGTGGGAGAGGGGCTGCGGGCCCTTATGGTGTGGAAGTTGCTAGGATCCACTTACAGCTGTTTACTTCTAAATTCTGGAGTGGAACAGCTTGTTTCCCTGAAGCCATGCTGAGATCCCTGGGCTGCCATCAATAGACTATATGGGGGTGAGGGAGGGCCCTCCCCCCAACTCCTGGGTTCTGTGCCAAGGCAGAGCCAACATGAATGAAGATTTCAGAGCTGTGTTGTTGTTTTTTAAAGCTTCGCTTTTTAAAGATTTTTTTAAATGTTTAAATTGATTTCTAGAGAGAGGAAGGGAGAAAGAGAGAGAGAAAAAAACATGGATGTGAGAGAGAAACTTTGATCAGCTTCCTCCTGCATGCCCCCTACTGGGGATCAAGTGCCCAACCTGGACATGTGCCCTGGCCAAGAATCGATCCAGCAACCCTTTGGTGCACAGGACGATGTCCAACCAACTGAGCTTCACCGACCAGGGCTCAGAGCTATGTTTTGAAAGCCTCGGTCCTATCTTTAGGTTTTGCGATCCAGTACAATTCCTAAACTCTCGAAGCCTCTGTTTTCTTCTCTGTAAAATAAAGGTATTAATATTAATATGCATCTTGTTGGGTAGATAATAATAACCACTTGCTGACTGTCTACTCTGTGCCGGGCTGAGGCTCAGAGGAATGACATAACTAGCCCAAGGTCAAGTTAGCAATAGTGAAGGTACAATGTAAACCCAGATATGTTTAACATCAAAGTGCATCTTCTTAACCACTCTTTCAGAGATTAAATGAGGTGATATAAAGAGTGTGTCACAGTGCTTGATCTGTAGTAATTGCTTGATACTTATCATTGCCTCATCATCAATATCATCCTTTTTCCCTCTTGGCATCTCCTCCCCTTTTCTTCTTTGGCATCGTTTTTCCAATATACCTTTATCCGGGTCTCCTGATGTTGCATAGTTAAGTAGGTTACGATTCTAATGTTCACTTTGCAGGCAGAGTGACTCGTGTCTGAGTCCTGCCTCCACTATTTACTATCTGAATGCTCACCGACAAGTTGCTCCCCTCTCTGTACCTCAGTGTTCTCTCCTATAAAATGGGGATACTATTGTGCCTGCTTCAAGGGTGATTGTGAAGATTATATGAGGTAATGTAGGTAAAGTACATCCTGGGCATTCAACAAATATGACCTAAAGAGACTGTCCCAAAGGGATTCATTCCTAGTCAATGATAATTAGGGTGAATTCTGCTGCAAAAGGCTCCGAGAGCCAGAAGCCTGCCCCATCACCAGGGTGACCCGGACCAGGCCACATGCCTCCTTTAGACATCAATTTTGTTTTGGCGGAAAGGAGTGGGTGCTCCCTGCTCTCCCTACCTCTCAGGGTCAGCAGGAGGTGAGATGGAACTGGCAACCATAACAGAATGGCTTTGAAAAGTCAGACTTGCTACACGAGTGAGAAATTTCATGAGATGGTTTTGGCCCAGCCTCCGCTCAGCATCAGCAGATTTCTTGATCTGGGGGGAAAGGTGTTGTTGGGTGCAGGCACGGGGTGGAAGGCCTGTGTGGGACAGATTCCTGCTGGGATAATAATACCGGTGTGAAGTGGAAGAAGTTATAACTCCTTCCCGAATCCTGAAAATCCCTTTCTTGCCTGCCAGGATGCCATGCTGGTGGCTCTTAAGAGCCTCATGCCTGCTTGCCTCTTCAACGTCATTGGGTTTGGATCCACGTTTAAGAGTCTCTTCCCTTCCAGTCAGGCCTACAACGAGGTAAGAAAGGACCAGGCTGGGACCAGGAGGGGCGGGTGGTGAGGAGCAACGGACAGAAAAGGAGAGAGGAGGCCTGCTCACAGGCTGTCCACACGTATAGGACCAGGATGGTACCCAGGAGCCAAGAAGGAAAGAGAGGCTAACTCTGCTCAGGCAGTTCTCTGACACCTCAGCCTTCTGACACCCTCCTCTTTAAAATAAAGAACATGTTGGACAAAGTGTGGGTGTGCGCAGACAGGGGTCCAGGAAGGGGTAGAAAGAGGATGCATAGCCTAAGCCTGCCACTCACTGAAGCCTCTATCTCATGAGGACAATAGATCCGTGCAAGGTTGAGCCAAAGAAGTGAACAGGAAGGATGGCCGAGTGAATAGGTGGGTAAGTGGGCTGAGAATGGGACTCATGAGACTCAAGCTACAATTTTAAATAACAGGACTGTGGCCCCAGCAGCACGTTCAGAATTGCAGGCCTAGGAATTGGAGGGAAGGAAGGGAGGGAGGGAGGGAGGGAGGGAGGGAGGGAGGGAGGACGGACTTCGGAGCCACTTTTCAATTAAAAGTAGTTTATGGGTGTTTAAAATGCAATAATAATATATTGATTATCCCACAGCCTTTGAAACTAGATAATCAAAAAGAAAAATATGTAAATCTCACATGATCACGTCAGAAAAACAAAAGGAAAAACAATATTAAGAGCTTAGAGTAAATCCCTCCAGAACTTGTTCTATGTATTACCCACAGTTTCAGGAAAGATAGGATTAGGCCTTCCAGAAACTACTTTTCTAACACAACAGCCCCTCATGAGCACATTTTTATGACATGAAGTATAAATCTGCAGCATAATTCTAATGGCTGCCTAGTGTTTCACTGCAGAGAGGTGTGACTTATTTAACTAAACCCCTGCAGTTGGGCACTGGAGTTGTTTCCTTTTTTTTTTTTTTGCTTATCACCTTTGTATCAAAGGCTTCACATCCCTCCTTCATGATTCCCTTGGGATAAATTTCTAGTCTTTCTGGCTCAAAGGTACATTATACATTTTAAGACTTTTGAGCATGGATGTCGGAAGAGCATCTTCCTGAGTCAGGAGCAGAAGGACATCTGATGTCCAGTGAGATCTGTCCTTGCTGTAGTGACATTCATCCGAGGCCAGTAATCCTGGGCCAGAAAGGACAATGATAAGTTAATATAACACCGAGAATGGTAGCATGGCAGGCACTGGTGGGGGTGTCATTGGGCAGAACCATGTCAAATAAGTGTCCACCTTTTATTCTTCCTGTTTGTGGGGCAGAGGTGAGATTGGGAACAGGACTCAACTCTGGCGAGGTTGAAGTATTATCTAGGGCAGCGATTTTCAACGGGAGTGCTGTAAGGATTTCTAAGACATGCAACACCTATCTATTTAGTCGGGGGCACTGACCTCTTTTCCCCTAGATTGTCACACACACAAATGACAGCGGCCAACGCATTAGCCATCTGGTGTGAATGAATCAAAAGTATACTTTTATTTTTGTTAGATCGGCAACAAATCTATTTTGTGATATGCCTCAGGATTTTAGTAATTAGTTTATGTTAAAAAAAAAAAAAGTTGAAAATTGCTGATCTAGGGAAACAAAAGGACTCCTCCCCCAAGGGGCTCAGAGTCTCCGCACCCTACGGTGACCCTGGGAATTCTCTCCCTGCCTGTGCCTTTCCTGCAGGAGACCTTGGCCATAGCCTGTGAAAACATTCAGAGAATGCGGGCTGACATGGGCGGCACCAACATCCTCTCCCCGCTCAGGTGGGTCATCCGGCAGCCAGTGCACCGAGGCCACCCGCGACTCCTCTTCGTGGTCACAGACGGGGCGGTCAACAACACTGGGAAGGTGCTGGAGCTGGTGCGAAACCACGCCTTCTCCACCAGGTGGGCACAAGCTGAAGGTCTAGGACGTGGTTATCCCGGGCTGCCCTGGACTGGGGTTTCCAGAACCCGGGCCACATGGAAAAAATGCCAGAAGACAAGGAAAGACCCTTTTAGAGCAGTGGTTCTCAACCTTCCTAATGCCGCAACCCTTTAATACAGTTCCTCCTGTTGTGGTGACCCCCAACCATAACATTATTTTTGTTGCTATTTCATAACTGTAATTTTGCTACTGTAAACAATATGTCATTATATATGTGTTTTCCGATGGTCTTAGGCGACCCCTGTGAAAGGGTCATTCGACCCCCAAAGGGGTCGCGACCCACAGGTTGAGAACCGCTATTTTAGAGCTTTGCTTCCAAGGTCGTATGGCTGACCTCAAAGTTTGCCTCTCCCCCTCAAAGTTCAGGAAGGATGAGATGCCCACACCTCTGCATCCAGCTCCCAACCAGCAGCCTGGGCAAAGGAAGCCCTTCCTGCTGCTTAGACTCTGCGCTGGGGCGGAAGTCATGGGCTTCACGTGTGAATGGAAATGCCCATGGATGGCCCTCTTCCCCGGCCCTCTGCCTGAAGCTGGACCAGCTGTGAGAGAGTCCGCCTGGATCAGGAGACAAAGATGGCAGAGAGGATGGGAAGTGGCAGCCCCTCTCCTCCCCTGCCCAGGTGCTATAGCTTTGGAATTGGGCCCAGCGTCTGCCACAGGCTGGTGAAGGGGCTGGCAACCGTGTCCAAGGGCAGTGCTGAGTTCCTGATGGAGGGGGAGCGGCTGCAGCCCAAGGTAGGTGGAAGGGCCCCCGTCCCTCTGCTGCTGGACCCTCACTCTGACACGTGGGGAAAAGAAGGCCCAGGAAAGCAAATCGACTTGCTCAAGATCACTCTCTGGTTCATGTTTTTGACACAAACTTTCTGGGTGCCCCGGACTAGTCACAACCCTCCTTTGAGTCCTGGATTTTCTCATTTATAAAATGCTAAGCTTAGGGAAGACGCCAGCAAACATTTGCTCCAACTCTGGCATTGTAGGAGCCTAAGAAGTGGCATGTTCACTGGTGGGCAAGCCACCCCAAGGCCCCTTGTCACTTCTTTCCTGCTCACATCCCCGCATGGTCATACCCACCTGGGCTTCGTGCATCTGGACATACCTCAGCTCACACATCTCCCCAACCAGTGTTCTGATTCTGCCCCACAGATGGTCAAATCCCTGAAGAAGGCCATGGCCCCAATCCTGAGTGATGTGACTGTGGAGTGGGTCTTCCCGGAGACCACCGAAGTGCTGGTCTCCCCCTTGAGCACCAGCACCCTCTTCCCTGGGGAACGGCTGGTGGGATACGGCATTGTGTGTGATGCCTCCTTATACATCTCCAACTCCAGATCTGTAAGTATCTTAGAAATGCCCGGGGTCAGTGGGGGTCCAGAAACATGCCCTTGCAGCCATCCGTGCTGGAAAGACTGTTCCTGGCAGGAAGGAACGAACTGGATCTGGGCTTATAGTTGTGAGGAATAGTTGCCAGGCCATGGAACGCAATCTACAAATAACTAATGAAATTAGAAAGACATAACTTTTCAACCCAGAAATCCCTTCTAAGGGATCTAACAGAAATAAACTGATATAATGGAGTTATGTCCAAGGATTTATTGTAGCATTTTTTGTGATGGCAAAAACTATGGCCACATATTAATGCTGCTCCCCTCAAAATGTCGTTTGATGTTACACGCAGCAGGAGAATATTGTGAAAGACATTATTACAAATGATTTGGTAGCCAGAATATGAATTTCTCATCAAATAAACTTAATTATTGAGAGAGGACAGCAATTTGTACAACTGAACTGGTCAATTCGGTTTCTAATTTTCTCTTGTAAATTCCAGGACTTCATAAACTTCTTTTTCTAGTCCAAAGGTACTCATAGCCTCCCCAGAGCTCCCAAACTATTGTTTAGTAGATCAACAATAATAGGTACCATAAGACACTGTGGTCTCACATACTTATTTTCATTGAACTGATTTTTAAGGTGATTTTCTACTCCTTTTTTCCTTTTCTACTTTGTCCTCTTTCCTACACCAGGTGACTTATACTTTGGTTGTCTGATCAGGTTTGACTTACTGTTGAAGGAATGAAGTTTAATAGCATTTTCTCTTTGTGATTTTTAGAGCTTGTCATCACCTTGTATTTATCAATGGATGACATGTTGACTTTTTGACTGATAAAGCGTTAAATGTAAATATAAATACAGCCACTAAGTGAATGCTTAACCATAGGGGTGGTAGAATATTGCACAATCAAATGTTTAAAAGAATAGTTGACATACAGGATTTCCAAAATGTTTAAAGTGCAGCGTTCAAGATACTGCTAAATAGAAAGTAATATGGTCCAGTTTTTGTAAAACAAAAATGATCCCCAAAAGCCTTTATGTTTTATATGTATGTATATACTATGGAGAATGGAATGGGAGGAATAGATGGTTCATTCTGTTCATTTTGTTTACCTATTTGGAGACAGCAGTGGCATTTAGAATTACCTTTTAAATTTTTTTAAATAAAGAATATAATTTAAAATATAAACAATGTGAGTGATATGAAGTAATTTTCATTCACCATCTCATAAACAGAAGTCTGCCTAAATTCTCCAAGCTAGCAAAACACTTTTTTTATTATTCCACTTCTCACATGGACTCTCCACCACCTGGCCTCACACTGCTTGCTGCTCTGTGGATGTCCCTCCTGCCATCTAGCCTAATTCCCAACCTTCTTCCTCTCCCTTCCTCCAGGACAAGAGGAGACGATACAGCATGCTGCACTCTCAGGAGTCCAGCAGCTCTGTCTTCTACCAGTCACAGGATGAAGGGCCCGGCTCAGACAATGCAAATTGTGCCAAGAGCTTGGGGGAACCCCTCGACCTGCGGCAGGCCACAGATGCCCGGCCGTCCAGTGGCGACCCCGCCACCAGTCCTGGTAAATCTGCCACCCTTTGTGCTTCACTCACTTCTCCAGAAGCTATGATCGCTCCATTTTACTGAGCACTTACTATGTGCTAAGCACTTTATACAAACAGTCGCATTGAATAGTTAGCAGCTGCAGAGGGGGCTACCGTTTATTCTACAGATGAGGAGACTGAGACAGGGAACTTCAGTCACTTGGCTGAGCTCGTGGAACTTGAAAGAGGTCGAGTGCAGAGAGTCTAGACCTGTCTGCCTCCAGAGCCACTTCATGGTTTTAGTTTCCACTCGGAGGGTGTTTCCTGATCACCTACCCAGGCTAAGTACTGAGCACAGTGTGAGCAGCAAAGATGACTCGAACGTAGCACCTGTCCTCAGAAGCTCTCCATCTGGTGAGAGGGATACAATTGGACTTAGTTCTGAGAGGAAGCAGAGTGACATGGGCCACAGGAGGTTCTGGGCAGCAGACATTGCCTGAGCAAAGGTGTGGAGGTGTGACACCTAGAAAATACATCCACAGTTGGTTACTCAGCTACTGTACTTGGACACATGGAACCTTGAAAAGGGAACAGAAAGGAGAGTCGCTAGGTGATAGATTAGGGCCCGGTTAGGCCAGGCTTTGAATGCCAGGTGAGGTGAGGCACCCAAACATACGTCAGTAGGTGAGCAGAGGAAAGATCAAGACGTTTTCAAGCATGAAAGGGTATGCAAGCCCCTCCCTCTTTGCCCGCTGTCCTCTTCTTGCACTCTGGTGGCTCCTCTGTCACCGCCCCTGTCCAGGTGTGGGCCTCTCCCAGCGACGACGGGCATATAGCACCAACCAGATCATCGACCACAAGCCCTCCCCGAGGGCCACCACGGTCAGCGACCCCACGATGGCTGCCAGGAGATACCCACTGCGGAAAGCCAAGCTGCAGGACCTCATCAACCAGCCCAGCCCAGATGCCCAGCCGAGACAGATTGATTTGCAGGTGCCCGGGCGGGGCAGGGTGGAGTTGGGGGAGGCCATGGGTGGGGGTGAGCTGTGTCTCCTGCTTCAACCGGAAGGATGGAGCCTGTCCACAGCTGACCGAGAAGCGAGTCACCTCTTCCTTCATCTGCCTGACCCTCAGTGACCCCTTCCTTACAATGATACCCATTGGCCAATGACAGCACCAGTTCTCTGCACACAGCACTTCCCAGTTGTCAAGAAGCCTCCCCATCTGCTCTCATTTGATTTTATAGCAGCCCTGGGATAGGAGGGGGTTGGAAATGAAGGGTAAAGGTCACACAGCTTGTCTGGAGATTAAAACCCGGGACCCACTTCCTGCAAAGCTCTTGCTTCCCTCTCCATCACACACTGCACCTTCTGCAGATACCAAGGATGGTACATCCACCCAGGGCAGGGATGCTCTCAGCGCTACAGCCACAGCAGGGCCAGTTGCCCCCTGTCCAGCTAGACCAGTTTCTGGCCTCAGCACCTTGGACATGATAATTCTTTATTGTGGGGCGCTCTTGTGTAGAAATTGTAGAAATCCACCACCCCCAGTGATGACAACTAAAAATGTCTGTAGACATTGCCAAATGTCCGTGGGGGAGGGCGGCAAAATCACCAGTTTGAGGAGCACTGTCCTAAACCAAATTGTTGTCTGGTATTATCGGCACGCCTTCTCCCATCTTCTCAAGAATGGGCTTGATGTAGCTTCATCAGGGTGAGTCTGTGGCTCCACAGAAGCAACCTTTTCTTCCTCATGCCCACCCACAACCTCCATCCATCCCCGCCTCCACAGACGCATCAGCCCCCTCGCTCCCCAGGGGCAGAGACACTGCCACCTCGTCCCTGAGGTCCTTCTCTGTCCTTAGCCGAGGATGCAGTTGGAAGACACTGACCTTGGAGTCAGGCAGACGCTGCTCCTCAAACATGTTACTCAACCTCTCTGAGCCCCAATTTCTTCGCCTGTGAAATGGGGAGAATAGCTTGCGCGGGTGGTTGAGCTAACAGCCGTCCACAGACATGTACTGAGAGCCAACTACAAGTGGAGGTGATAAGAGATCAAGTGCCGGATGCAGTGCCTGGCACACAGTAGGTGTCCTTTAAATGCAGGTCTGGTTAGTGAGCGTTCTGAGCAGTGTGGCTTCTCTTCTCTCCTACTTGCTTCTGGCCATCTTTGCTCATCTCTGCCCCATCCCCTGCTTGGCTTCTTCCCCAACCTGATTCTCCCCAACACAACATGTGCACACATGTATACACGCCCTACAGCCTCTGGCTGGGTGAAGGGCTGAACCTGAGACTAGTCTATTGCCATGGAGACGGTAGCAGCTTGTTTCTCAATGTGTTGGTGATGGTGGGGCAAAGGTGAGAGGAATCCTAGTCTCTGATGAGGGAGGTGGTTAGGGATGCCCTGGGATGCAGCAGCCCTGGCTGGGTACCAGCTCCCACTGAGGCCATCCAGTCCCAGTCTTCTCCCACACCCTTGTACCATCCCAGGACCTCAGGTCCAGAGGAGACGGGAAGGAGCACCTCAGCCCCTGCCCCAAGGAGCAGGAGCCCCCATCTAATGGGGAGTACAGTCCCTTCCCAATAAATACTTGGTAGCGATGAGAAAGACCACCCAGTTAGCTGTTGGCCTAAAAGACTGAGAAACACCTTTTCTCTCTGTTACACCTAGTAAGTGCCTTTGCGCCCTGTCTCCTATCAGGCAATGCAAATGTTGCCAGAGACACAAATTCATTTTTAACTAATTTAATATTCTTTCATTACAAACATACTCAGAGTGTGAAAATCACACCCTCAAACAGTTCGGTCGAGTATAAAAAGAAAAGTACCCCGACCTACTTGGTTTTGAGTGTTTCCTTCCAGAAATACTACACACACACAAGCACACACATACACAACACACGTTCGTGTTTTAAATAATCACATATACAAACTTCCTTCTAAATTGCTTTTCTAATATCTTCTTAATTCACTTTTTTATATACAGTAAAATTGGTGACTAGCTCGATGAGTTCTGACAAATGAATAGTCATGTAACCATTTCCACGATCAGAATACAGAAGAGCTCCAAATGTTTTAATGTTTTCTCTTAGACATCTTCCCAAATTAGTTTTTAAGAAACTGGCTGTTTTATTGCAGTGCTGTGTGGTGTTCCAACACATGGACGTACCATAACTTACCAGTATTCGCCAATCTTATTGAAGTACATTCAGACAGTTTCCAGATATTCACAAAATCTTTTTTTTAACAAATAATACTGCAACAAAGATACAGTACATGTACATAGATATTTGCAACCTTGTGTATTTCCACAGGATTCAATTCCTAAAGGTGGAATCGCTGGGTCCAGGGAGCGTGGGCCTTGTTAATGTTGACAGCTAGCACAGGGCTGCATCGTTCTCCACAAGTACACGTCACTGCGCACTCCCACCAACAGTCCATGGGGGACCCCCGTCTCCCCATGACCACATTGCGTGTCATCAGACATTTACAAATTTTCTAGTCTGGAAAATGGGAAAAATCATAATTCATTTCATTTTATTTTTTTATCCTCACCCGAGGATATATTGTTATTGATTTAAGAAAGGAAGGGAGAGAAACATCGATGTGAGAGAGAAACATTGATCCGTTACCCCCCATATGCACCCCAACTGGAGATCGAATCCACAACTTAGGTATGTGCCCTGACTGGGAAGTGAACCCTTGAATGATGCTCCAACCAATGAAGCCACCTGGCCAGGACTGTCATTCATTTTAATTTAAAGCAACACTCAAGAGCTGAGCATGTTTTCATGGGTTTATTGGATACTTTTTCTGTAAACTGGCTGTAAAGGCCCTTAATCCATTATTTTATCGAGTGTGTCTCCACCTCCAACCAGTGATTTCTAAGAGCATTTTCTTGAAAATAAGCTTTGTCATGCATGTTGCAAATATATTTCCCAGTTTACCCCTGGCCTTTTGATGTTTTCTTTTAGACAGATTAAGTCCACAAAACAGAACAGAAAGCCCAGAAATAACACCAAATGTGCATGAGAGCTTTGTCGGCATAGAGGTGGGGAACTCATAAACAGTATTCAATAAACGGTGCTAGGATTCAAAAAAAAAACAACGAAAAGGCTGGTTCCTATTTCCTTACACGAAAATAAATTTCATGTGAATCAAAGATTTAAGCAAACAAACATCACAAAAAGTCTATAGGAATTTTTTTTTAAGTAGGTAAGACCTTTGAAGCATGACCTATGAGAAGGCCTAAGGAAAGGGTTAATTTTAAACACACACAAACGTTTTAAACTTTGTGGCAAAAATAAGTGAGTGTAGATTATCTACGGTATGTGATTTTCCATGGTCTTCCGGGTTTGGACTTCATCCATGGTTTGGGATTATTCATGTTGACATTTCTCATGGGTAGTGGAGAGTAAGTGGTTTGTCCTTGGGTGCTCCAGGGGGAGCTGGGGTGGAGGGGAGCGGCCCAGCCTCATCTTCCTCTTGCCTTCCTAGCCCTTCCTGAACAGTGGCTGGGACCTGTGCCAGGGCCCCAAACTCCGGGGCCCAGGGGCCCGCAGGCCCTCTCTGCTGCCCCAAGGCTGCCAGCTCTTCGTGCCCTCTGACCAGGAGCCCCAGGCCTGGAGCCCCATGAGGGAGCTGGACCTTGGGTACAGCCCGCAGCCGGCCTCAGACAGCCTCAGCCCCGGGGACCAGGGTGAGTGTCCTCAGGGCCGGGGCCTGACTGGGAACAGGGAGGACTCCTTGGCGATGGCCTGACTTCAGATGACAGGCCCAGAGGACAGATGCCGTGCCCTTTAGGGGGTGGGGGGAGTCTGCTGTGGCCCCTTCTCTCCCTGAGGACCTCACCAACCCCTCTTTTCCCAATCAACCTGGCCCTTGGGCTGCCTGTCCCCTACCGCGCGTCCTCCCTGCGGCACATTCTCCCCAGGAGTGCCCCACCCCATCCTACCGGACCCCTCAGGTCCTGGCTTCCTGGGAGGTGGGACCAGCCCATGCCACCCCACCTGTTCTAAGAAAGGAGTTTCGCCCTGGCTGGGGTGGCTCCGCTGACTAAGAAAGGAGTTTCGAGATCCCTGGGAGTGCGGCTGGGGTGCTGTACTGTGTTTGCTTAGGGGTGTTTGTGCCCTGGGAACGGATGCTGTCCCCTGCGGGGCTGGCCCTCTGTCCCCGAGTTCAGAGCACTGTCCTCTCGTCCCTCCGCCCACAGAGCCGGTCCATCAACCCTCCTCCTTGGAGACCCAGACCTCCCCGGCCTGGGAGCCGCAGGCCAGCACCGACAGGCAAGCCACCCCAGACCCCGTGCTGGGCAAGGCCGTGGTCAAGGGCCTGCGCGACAGCCAGTGTTTACAATGGGAGGTGAGCTTCGAGCTGGAGCCCCTGGGCCACGAGCGGAGCAGAGCGCACGACGCCGACCTTTGGAAGGAGACCTTCCACCACCTGGCGGCCCGCGCCATCATCCGCGACTTCGAGCAGCTGGCGGAGCGCGAGGGCGAGATAGAGCAAGGTGAGCGCCCGGGCCTGCGCCCGCCTCCTGGCCTCCGAGCCCCGCCCCCTCCGCAAGCCCCGCCCAGTGCCCCGCCCACCTCCCCGGCTCCAGCGTGTCCCTTCTCCCCACAGACCTGCCACCGCCCAACCGCCCAGGGCTCAACTCCCCAAAGCATCGCTGCTTCCAGGTGCGCGCGCACACACACACACACACACACACACACACACACACACACACACTCACACACACACACACACACACACACACACACGCACGCACGCAGCCCAGGGCTCCATCCCCTCCGGTATCTGCCCCATCCCCTTGCCTCCTCCCACCAGCCCTGGGCTCCTCCAGCCCTCCCACCCTCACCCGGTGATCTGTCCTCTCCTCTCCCTCCTCCGTGCCCTCCGCTTCTGGTCCTCCACCCCTCCTCACTTCCCAACCTTCTCCCCACAGCGCCCTCTCAGACAGAACAATGGGGACAGCCCCATTCCACCCACTCTGCTCCTCTGGGACCGCACCTACCTTCCCACAGACCCCACTAGACAGCGGTTCCCAACCTTCTTCTGGCCACGCCCCACCTAAGCGTCTCTAAAATCCTGATGCCCCCACCCCATGACATACAATTCTTATTATTCAAAAAGTGAACTCCTGTTCGCCTGGAGGAAGCCTAAAAGGCCATTAACTTGGTCTAAACAAGCTTCCAAAGAATATGGCATCCATGAAAGAGAAAAATAAAAGAATGTGAAAGGACAGTCGAAGTACTGAGGAAGAAATCACTAAGAAATTGTTTAAAAAATAATAATAATAATAATATGAAGTTCTATGAAAAATAGCAAATAAAGTTTCAAAACATATAATAGAGAACTGAAATGCATAAACATGTCACAATATATACTTATATACTGTATATGAGGCCCGTAGAACCATAAGAAATGCAAAAAATTCACTGTTAATCACTCATTCTCGAATTGCCCCCCTTACAAGACAAATTGCCCCCCTGTGGGGGGGGTGCCCCACATTGGGAACCACTGCCCTAGACCTGCTCGGCCCACTCACTCACTCATCAAGGCCGCTTACTGAACGCGGATCCTCGGGGGCCAGCCTCGGGGCTGAGCACAGTGACCAGGGCATCCCTGCCCTTACCAGTGCTTGACACAGACTAGCAGGAGAGCCAGCATTAATCAAATAAGTATAGACACTATTCATTGCCCGCATTTGTCCTAAGTGCTATTAAAAAAATATATAGGGATACAAGAGATTGTTTAACAAGGGTGGTGGGGAAGCTCAGGAATTGGGACAAACTTTTCTTAAAAAGTGAGTCCTGGGATCCTGATGGAGTCCACTTGAAGACTAGACAGAGATCGAAATAGAAAATATTTCCATTATTTGTTATAGTTTATGCTTTATTTACGTAATAGGATTTATATTTTGTATTATTTGTATTGTTGTGAATACTTCAGAAATAATAAGCATAAAACCAATGACTCACTGAAGTCATTAGGAAAAACTTATTGCACACACACCAAAAAGACAGTTCGCAAATCAAGAGCACCCAGACCAACACATGGAACGAAGCTCAGGGGGGTATTATCATAAAGCAGCTTACAGAGTGAGGAAGCAGTGACAGTTAATGCTTCACGGCGATTGGTTATAAAGTTGGAATTTTCAGCAGTTACCTTACAGTAACCTTGGGAAACAGTTCAAGTCTCAGAGGCAGAAGCAAGAAATGACCCCGGTCACGTTCGTCTTGCAAAATGAGCTAAATTAAACTTTGTTTGTTTAATGAAACTGGTTTTGCCTGCTCAGGGAATTTTCAAGGCTGATCTCTGTTTGGTTTTTATTTTAACATTACATAATATGTTATTTTTTCCCCACGAGCACTTCACCTTACAGTTTACAAAACGTGTCCCCTCTGCATGTCCTCGGCTCCTCACACAGCCTTTTGGAGGTGGCAAGCCGCAGAGACTGCTAACTTGCTGCGTGGAAAGAGCTGGGGCTTTGGGAACAGACCACCACTAAGTCCTGATCTCAATCCACGACTACCTCGCTGTGTGACCCTGTGCCTGCCGCTCTCCCTCTCTGGTTTCCAACCTTCCCTGCAAAATTGTCCAATGGGCCAGACCAGTGGCCCCCACTCAGCCAGGATACTATGAAGTCCTGCAGCAAGAGTCTCATCAGGCAGCTACGAACTGAAAATAGGAAATGCAGACAACACAGATGGCTTTGACTGTCTTTAATAACACTAGTTATTTAAGGGCAGTAACTGTCTTTTTTAGTCTTAGATGTCTTACCTCTTTTACATTAAAACATCCTTATTGTATGAAGTGATAGTGGAGGATAACAATCTTGGGGGGCGGGGGTTATGTTCTTAAGCAGCAAGTTGGAAACCCCTTGATTTGAAGGCCTTATTTCATCCTAAAGATGGGACCACTGGTCTAGCCTTCCCTCTGGCTTCCGGAGCTTCCGTGTGGGAGAGAACGTTCTGAGTCCACACAGTGACCCCAGCTTCTCCCTCCGCAGGATCCAGCCGCCGCTACCAGGTGAACGCCGTGCACACCAGCAAGGCCTGCAACATCATCAGCAAGTACACCGCCTACGTGCCTGTGGACGTGAGCCAGAGGCTGTACCTGCCCACCGTGGTGGCCTACCCCAGCTCCGGTAAGGCAGGGGGGTGGCCAGGCAGCCCCCGGGGGCTGGAGGAGGTGGCTAGGACCTTAAGGGGCAGAGCTGCAGGGTGGGGTGCACAGAAGGGTCTAGAACAGTGATGGCGAACCTATGACACGCGAACTCATTTTTTTGGTTGATTTTTCTTGGTTAAATGGCATTTAAATATATAAAATAAATATCAAAAATATAAATCTCTGTTTTACTATGGTTGCAAATATCAAAAAATTTCTATATGTGACACGGCACCAGAGTTAAGTTAGGGTTTTTCAAAATGCTGACACGCCGAGCTCAAAAGGTTCGCCATCACTGGTCTAGAAGCATAAAGACCCCAAAAGCAGATGGTGTAGCCACCACGAGGCACAGAAACCTGTGAAACCACGCCACTCCCTTATTCCCACCAAATAAGCATGACTTCACTGAAGTTTTCCAACGAGGGCAATGCTATGTGCTCACTGTAGAAAATTCCAGAATGTAGAAAGACAGAAAATAAATAGAAGTGACAGTCATCCAGAGATGAGTACTGATTACCTCCTTGGTGACCACCCTTCCAGACTTCTCTCTATGGATATCTCCACAGAGAAATCAAAAAACATAATTTTGCATGAATTGGATCATATCAATGTGTGCTGTTCCTTATGAAATATGGGTGGGAAGGTGAATCTCTACCATCATTTTAACAGCTGCGGTGTTTCCTGATGTGGAAAAATACTAATCGTAATAGTCAATTTGACAGGGATGGGGTGGATATATGGATATGGGATGGATGGATATATGGAGATATATATATATAAAATCATTTAGTCCTCAGAACAACTCTGCAAGGTAGATACTATTACCCCCATTTTAAAGATGGGGAAACAGAGGCAGAGGTGGTTAAGTAACTTGTCCAGGGTCACACAGCAGGAAGAGACAGGCTTTGAACCCCAGGGATCTGGCTCCAGAGTCTCTGCTCACCCCGCTCCTCTCCAACTGCCTCTTAAGTTTTCTCAGAACCTACTGAATCAGCCCCTCAGTATTAGACCTTCAGTTTATTTCCTTTTCGACTATTGTAAATGATGCCGCAAAGAACATCTTTGTGCGCCTGTCTGGTTATCTGCTCAGGGTTAATGAACTCTCAGAAGTCAGATTGCGTATCAAGATTGCCCGTTTAAAACTGTCCTGGATGTTACCAAAGTGGCCCAGGCCCAAGAGTTATTCTGATGCCCACCCTCGCCAACACTGACTGTTGTTCATCTTTCTAAACCCTGCCAGTCTGATAAGGAGGAAAGACTCTGTCTGGGGAATTTCTTTAGTTTTTAGTTTTTGGGTGAGATGCTGTTCACCTGTTTGTGAACTACTTGTTCTTTTCATCTCCTGACTTACTTTTTCCTGTTCTTTGTAGTGTCTTTTTTTTAGCAGACCTCCTGAAAGAATTGTGTTTGGAAACAGAATGTGCCTTTCCTCCTTCCTCCTGTGCCCTGCACCCCTTTTGTTTATAGTCATCACTGTTCTCAGTTCGGGCTCTGGCCAGCAGCCAGGCTGTTGCTCCACTGGCCATGCTTATTCACTGGGCCTTGTCATCCTGAATGACACGCTTATTCAGGATGTCTGTCCCTCCCACCCGTCTCTGACCATCCTCCTGGCCTCCGTAGCCACAGTCTGGGAGGTATGGAGACCATCCCGCCATCCCCAAAGGTCTGCTCAGCACTTCCCAAAGTGTGATCCAGGAAACTAGAAGCCTGGTTCCACATCCCATCAATGGCCATTCAGCACAAATATAGGAAATCCCAGCCCTGCCAGTGTGGCCCAGTGGGTTGGACATTATCCCAAGCACCGCAAGGTTGCCAGTTTGAGTCCCAATCAGGGCACATGCCCAGGTTGTGGGCTCCATCCCCAGTAAGGTTTTGCTCTCACATTGATGTTTCACTCTCTTTCTCCCTCTGCCTTCCTCTCTCTATATAAATCAATTTTTTTAAAAAAAAAATTTAACAGGAAATATCAGATCAGGAAGAAACTGAACTAAATACCAGTTCAGGAAACACTGAACTAAATAAAGCGCAAAAGCTTTCTTCACAGCAGAGCCTTTGGAACCTTGGGGATGTTAATGTACATCAGGAGGCTCAGAGAATGGACCATAGTATGCAGCTTCTTCAAAATTTATTGCCCAATAGAACTCTTCTTTTTTTTTTTAAAGAATAACTTACAGACTAGTGTTCTCATAGAGTGGGTTCCCCAAAACACACTTTGTGGGGTGCGGGTACGGTGTTTTGGCCAGGTTCAAACCTCGGACTAATGAAAGGACAGGGTCCTCTCATTGCCACGTGCAAGTCCCAGCTGGAGGGCAGGGCCCGCCCAGCACAATCATAGCCAACGGCTGTAGCTGTAAGCTTGAACCTATGGTCCGCACACGTAGCCCCACGTGCCTTGTGCTAGAATTCAGGTGCATGTAGTTGAGTAGGGTTGAAGCTCACGAGAATGCTGTAAACAACGTGATCACGCCCCTGCTTTGCCTCGTGGCATCTGCTATAAAATAAAGACACGGCTTGTGGGCACTGTCGTTGTCTCCTCATCAGAGAGGCAGCGCCCCACTGAGACCCAGCTATTATTCTCTTGTCTGTCTTTTCCTTAATCCTTTCACGCCCCCCCCCCCCACACACTCAGTTTACCTTTGGCCGCAACAACACTTGGGTGCTGTAGCTTCATCTCTCTTCCGTCCATCCCCCATTGGTGATGCCCTGGGACTGCAGGGACCTGCCTGTGGCAGGGGGCATGGGACCTGGGCCTTTGAGACAGCCAACGGGGAATGAGAGGAAATGGGGTGTTCGTGAGAAAACCAGCCTTTAGACTAACTAGAAAACACTGCTGCTTCCTGAACATTCTCTCTCGGCAGCAGTATTTACCTAGCAAAGTCGGTATTATCCCCATTTTCCAGATCCGGACATTGAGGTTGAGAGTGGTTAGCACCCCATCCAGCTACTAAAAGATGGGCTGGGGTTCAAACCCAGGTCATTCTGGCTCCAAAGCTCATGGTCTCACCTTGTACAATGCCTCCCTGTCTTTGGATAATTGACAGGCTGAAGCCAGAATCCTTCCTGCCAGCTTGGGAAGGAGGCAAAGGACTGGCACAATTGCACCCACCTGACCCCTTCTCCTGTCCTCACGAAGGTGCTGCACTGCGGATGGCCAGCTCTCGGGCCCTGAACCAACAGTGGAGGGGCAGCTCTGCTGGCTTCAGTCGGTCCCAGTCCGTGTTCACGGAAGACTCGGCAGCAGGACCTGGCAGATTTCAGAACCTAAGTAAGAACCACCTGGGGCAGGTTCTGGATCCTGAACTCCTGAGTCATGGCATCCTCATGCCCAAGACCCTGGAGGCCTCACTCTGAGTCTGCACTTTGGGCCCTTGCAGGACCAGGGTGAGGCCAGGCCTCCCGGGCTCTCTGAGGCCTGAGATGGGCAGCGGGGTGCAGCATGGCCCAAGCATGCTGCCTTAACACAGCATTGCTGAGAGAGCCTCTCAGAGCCAGGGGCAGCCTGGCCTCCCTGCCCACGTGCCCACACCATCCCTTCACCTCTCCCCTCCGAAGGCCCGCCAACCCCGGTGGCTATTCCCTGCCTCCAACCTCTGAGTCCTCCCAGGCATCCAATGCCAGAAAACCTGATAAATAGGGGAAAGTGGAGAGCAACGAGGCAGGTCCATCGTTTGGGTCCTACCATCTGCCTCGTTCCTTCCCGCCTTCACCTGATTGCGTTGTGCCTGCAGCTTGGTCCTTGAAGAACACGAGGATTTGAGCCTATTCTGTAGATTAGACACTAATAGTGAGGGAGCCTACAAA